GACCCTTCAAGCGCACGTAAGCGGTTCAGAGGTAACTCAAGTAAGGAGTACTTGCATGGCCCCGTAAAGAGGACAAGTAATAAAGGTGACCCTGCTGATAACTAAAGGAAGGGTAACCCTAGACCTCACCCTGGTTTGCCTGGAATCTGGCGTGAAACCACCTGTTTTGCAGACGGTGCCTCTTCCTATGTTCACTCTAGGGAGACATATACGTACCCCTTGCCGAAACTTCAATATGAAGGGAGGAGTGATAGGAATGAGTGGCCCTTCCTCATCAACACTGGGTTCGCCAATCAACTCGCACCAGTCAGAGAAAAAAAGTTAGGATGTCAAAAAATAGACGCTAAAAGTCTTCTTTGCGCAACCACACCCGGCATAACCAAGAGACCAAATAACGGTGCAAGGCCACAAACCTTGGCGAAGACCTGAAACTCTGTCAAGCTGTTGGAGCGTAGGTTGTTCACATAGGACTCGATGTACTGAGCGGAGAGGTTTTGCTGAGGTAGGAAGGTGCCTTGTAGAAAATCCTGAAAGACTTGGCCCTATAAAAAGGAAAAAAACACTTCAACGTCATGACCAGCGCGATACAATAACAAGTTCATGTTAGGACACACGCCTAGAATGGATAATTTACATCTTCATCCGCATGAAATGTTTGGAATAAAATTCAAACTTTATAAAAAGAGATGCGAGATGTCTACAGCGGAGGGACTCATATTTACGTATATCGGCTGTGACCCCGGCTGTTAACTGTTGGAACAATTGCGTGACAGTAAAACTTCAGTGGACGTCGGTGGCGAGAAGAGAGCGCAGACATGAGTATTGAGTTTTAGTCGCATCATTAAATCTCACGTCGGAAACTAACGCTTTACCTGCCTAAATATAGAAGTGACTTAGAAGGGTGGAATGAAGTGGACTGGAACACCCGGTGCATTTGTGGCCGACAAAGTAAACATGAATACTTGCGAAGTAATGGTTAAGCGCACAATAGCCGGCACTTTGGCGGGAGTCAACACGAGAAAAAGTCACTGTTTATGTTGACTTTGGAACGTGACAGAGACGACTCCACACTATCCGAAGGAAATATGCAGTGCATGTGGTGGTTAACTGGAAAGAGGAGTTCTGGGTCCAGGGTCTCAAACAAAAGTAGCCCCATGGGGTGATATCAAAGGTAAAAATCATAAATAGCCAGTTGGAAACTTAAAAAAATGAAGTAAAACCAACAGTGAGGGTAGTTCACCTTAACAGAATTGATGACATGGATGCAGCCGACTGACTCGTTCAGCGCCAGAACGAACTGCGCGTCGGTGAGACGGAAATCCGGCCGGGCGGGTAGAAGGAAGCAGAGAGGGAGAAGGTGGGAGAGAATAAAACCCTCATAGAAGGATGCCTCTTGGGCACAGACTGGAACAATGGCGGTAAAGAGGGCGAAGCTCGCCTTTATTCCAACCGCATCATCTTGCACCAGGCAGGCGTCT